CCCCCTCCCAACCAAGCCCATTTTCCTGAAACCTTGAAACATTAAGATAAGCCTCCTCTCTACGTCCTAACAGTAACTTATCAAAGTAAAGTAATCCCTCAAGGTTCTATCTTAGGTCCAAACTTAATCTCAACAAGGTAGATCAGTTTAGATTAGTTAAACTAATGGTTTGATGCAGGAGGTAGGGGGGAACTAGGGCACCTGCTGGGGGAAATCAACTTAAGGACACAGGAGCCAGATTTATGAAATATCAAAAAGTAGTTGCACTCTGGAGACATAGTTGAACCACTTCAAGTAGAGAAATGATTCAACTTCTTCTCACTATTCATTAAATCTGGTCCGAGGTCAAAAATAACAAAATAGTAAAAATCACATTTTAAACTAAAAANATGTATCCTGTATAACCCCTGTATCATGTATCCTTGTATAAATCCTTATCGTGTATCATTGTATAACCCCTGTATCATGTATATTGTATAACCCCTGACTCCAACAATGTCGGATAAAATGTTAAGTTTGTAGATTTTCCATCAGTTAGCCTGATAAATATGATTATATATTGCTTCTGTTTACACGTCTGACAAGCTATAAATGAAAATAAAAATCTAAAAATCTGTCTATGAGCAGGATTTGAGATAAAGGGGAGGGAGAGGGGGGGGGTTGAATTCCATATTTGTCTCTAAAATATAAGAATTTGAAAGTGATGATTGTCTTGTTTTGTTCTCAGATAAAGATCCCAAGCATATAGCTGTCATTTTTCATACCCAGAGCTAGTCCTGAGCCCGAAACTTAAGACAAAGTATCGTCAAGAAACCCAGTATCGGAAACCAAGTTTCATGAATAGGGTAAAGCAGTTTTGTAGATAGCAATATTTTTGCTAAGAAATATTTGTTTTCTGATTTCTTAAATTAAAATCTACGCAAATGTAAAGACCTCAAAAAGGAAACTTGGGAGTTTCGTTTAACGAAACTCTTTTTAAATTTCTGGCTTTGGGTTCTTCTAGATCTACAGGGGGTGTCAGGGAACACAGTACAATATATTCAAACATGTGATTATGTACTTTGGTTAAAATATATCCCACTATAGACATTAATTTACAGTACAGTAAAGTACATTATAGTACAGTACAGTACAGTACAGTACAGTTCAGTTCAGTACAGTACAGTACAGTACAGTACAGTACATTACAATACAATAAATACAATACAGTACAGTACAGTATAGTACAGTACACTAAAGTATAAAATAAGCAGTGCATTACCGTGCATTTATGAGGTTTCTCTCCAGTATGTCTTCTCATATGTACAACCAGCATGTACTGGGCTTTAAACGGTTTTTCTTGTCTAAAAAATCAAATGGTTAATAAATAGATAATCCCATCCAAGTAATTTATCAATCAATCAATCAATAAATCAATCAATCAATCAATCAATCAATCAATCAATCAATCAATCAATCAACTGGAGAGTAACTATGGAGCACTAAATCAATGCTTGATGCCAACTAATTCTGGTTTAGTGGAATAAGAAATAATATCTCTGAATCTACAAACCAAGGCAAAATAAATCCATTAATCAATTAATCAATTACCTTGAACAGTCCTTCCACTGGCAGATAAAATTTTTCTTGTTTGCATGTATATGATCATTCGCTATGTGCTAAAATATAAATAATATTATTAAAATGAAGATTTGGAGAAAAGTTGAAAATAAAATTATCCATTTGTTTAATTTTTCATTATCAAGGAAAATAGATATATTATTTTTTACTTTAAAACTGATGTTTTGCATAACAGGTCATGGGAAGAAGGGGGGCAGGGGGGGGATTAAAAATAAATATTTTTTACAAAATTACCTTTACTAAATCATCCTGATTTCCATATTCTTTATCACAGTTTGTCCAGTGGCAGTGGGTTTCAATAAAGTCAGGTTCTTCTTTTCCATCTCCATCAACCTCAACCTTAAACACCAGTTTTTTATACAGGACGCATCCCACAAGCTTTCGGAGGCATTAAAAATCTTGTAGCACGTGTCAGATTGGGGGGGCAATTGATATATTCAGAGGGAATAAATAGATAGAATCGGAGGAAATATTGAAATAATTCGGAGGCAGCTAATATATTCGGAGGGGATTGATAAATTCAAAGGCGAGGCAACTGAGAAATTTGGAGGAAATTGATAATCTTCATCCGTCCTGTAACCCCCTGATTAAAATTTGCGGACATTTTTCTTCATAAAGTAAAAAAAATTGCCAACATGGCTTATTATGTATCTTTATTGCAGACTTGAGTTTTCAAGGTCGAGAATATTTGACGCTAATATAACTTCATATAACTTCTTTAAGCTTTAGTGAGATATAAAACATAACTAGATAGATAGATAGATAGATAGATAGATAGATAGATAGATAGATAGATAGATAGATAGATAGATAGATAGATGGGAGGAAGAACTTAACATTTACACCCCAATACAGTCTAATTGAAAGGGGGCTATAAAATAAAATATATAGGTTGAAAAGGCGTTAATTAAATGCCTCTTGGATCAAAGTATTTAAAGGATTGAATGGATTGAATTGATTGGTAGTAAATCGTAATCCAATTATATGAAACAATATATATGTCCTAAAAATTCCAATTGTCGTCCAATTGACAACAGTTCAGTTCATTACAGTCTAAAACTAACTTTATTAAACCCAGAGATATTTTTGTCCAGTGGGATATTTTTGTGACACAACATGTACATCGACTATTTAATGTATCCTTTTAATTAAAATCTTTATGTCACTCTAAAGGGTCTTTGTGCACAATATTTAATAGATAAAGGAAAATATAACTATCAAAGGTATTTTCTAGATTTAAAGGGCACCGTTGTGAATTGGTGTAATTTTAGGAATTACATTAAGTGTCCCTTAAACACCAATTAATAAAGTTTAGTTTTCTCTCTCCCTTTATCCATGAAAAAACTAGTTATCAGTGTACACCGTTTAACATTATTTTACAATCCCTGAGTAAACTAGTTATCAGTGTACACCGTGTAACATTATCTTACAATCCCTGAGAAAACTAGTAATCGGTGTACACAGTGTAACATTATCTTACAATCCATGAGAAAACTAGTAATCGGTGTACACTGTGTAAAATTATCTCACAATCCCTGAGAAAACTAGTTATTAGTGTACACCGTGTAACATTATCTTACAGTTCATGAGAAAACTAGTTATCAGTGTACACTGTGTAACATTATCTTACAATCCCTGAGAAAACTAGTAATCGGTGTACACCGTGTAACATTATCTTACAATCCCTGAGAAAACTAGTTCTGGGTGTACACCATGTAACATTATCTTACAATCTTTATCTTTACTTGTCTCATATATTAGACCTCAAGCTAGACCCTGGTGTTTAAAATCTTTCAAAAAACCCTTTCTTGAACCCAATCAATACAGATTAACAAGGGTTTAAAAACTACCTCAGTACAAAGCAATAATTAACTAACTTAAGGAGAATTGTATTTAAAAGCTGAAACAAAATTTGTAAAATTCCAAACTCAAATAAGTTAACTATCTACAAGATGTAAAACTTGTATTGCAAATTTTTAACATGGAATTTCAAGCTTTAGGAATAAAAACGTTAAAAATTAAAAAGAATTCTTTTTAACGTTTAAATATTTAATCCCCTAATCAATTGACAGGGGAGAATGTTTGAATGTGCATACATAAATTAATGAATTTAGATAAAATTGTTTCGTCTAAAAATGCGATGAATTAAGCTGGCCATTGCTAAAATAAAGATTTCATCCAATTACAAATTCTCTGAAACTAAATGTAGAAGAATTTAATTAAAATGATATGAATCTCCTGTCAGTTAAACAGGGAGACAATCATTAATATTCTTTCGTAAAACTATATTTCCCAATTCACCAAATTACGTAAATTCAACGTATATGTGACATCATTTTACGTCATAATTACGTAATTTTCATTCATCATTTTACGTAATAATTACGTGATTTTTATTCATCATTTTAAGCAATAATTATTTGATTTTTATTCATCATTTTACGTAATAATTATGTGATTTTTATTCATCATTTTGGGTAATAATTATGTGATTTTTATTCATCATTTTACGTAATAATTTTGTGATTTTTATTCATCATTTTATGTAATAATTATGTGGTTTTTATTCATCATTTTAAGTAATAATTATGTGATTTTTATTCATCATTTTACGTAATAATTATGTGATTTTTATTCATCATTTTAGGTAATAATTACGTATTTTTTATTCATCATTTTACGTAATAATTATGTGATTTTTATTCATCATTTTACGTAATAATTATGTGGTTTTTATTCATCATTTTACATAATAATTATGTGATTTTTATTCATCATTTTACGTAATAATTATGTGGTTTTATTCATCATTTTACATAATAATTAAGCGATTTTTATTCATCATTTTTTTTGGTAACATTTAACTCAGTGTTAAGAACTTAAACTATGAAATAAAATGATTAAAGTTCAGTATAATCTATTCTTTGAACAGAGCTACTTATTCATTGTTCAATGTTAAAGAATTGAGACTTTGCCACAAACTCTAATATTCTAGTCTCTATATCTTTGCAACCCAATGGTATTTTGTCAGATCAAATAATCTAAGTTTAAAATATCAAAGGTTTACATCATTATTTACAGTTAGGGGGTTCTAAAAGTACTCTAGTGATAATGATGTATAGTGTATACCCATACTCTAATGTTGAGTAAATTTAAGTAATAAGGATTCGCTGACAATTTTTAAGTATCTTTGTTGAGGTGTTATGATCAGGTCTATTGTGTTATGATCAGGTCTATTGTGTTATGATCAGGTCTATTGTGGGTTTTACCTTAATATTCATTTTCTCGTCTTCGTCTTGCATTGTCGACGAAACTACATTGGAAGACGACTCTAGTTTCTGCTGGTAAACTGGTTCTCTGCTCTCCTGTAAACAATAACAAGATTGTAAACAATAACAAGATTGTAAACAATAGCAAGATTGTAAACAATAACAAGATTGTAAACAATAACAAGATTGTAAACAATAACAAGATTGTAAACAATAACAAGATTGTAAACAATAACAAGATAGTAAACAATAACAAGATTCTAAACAATATCAAAATTGTAAACAATAACAAGATTGTAAACAATAACAAGATTGTAAACAATATCAAAATTGTAAACAATAACAAGATTGTAAACAATAACAAGATTGTAAACAATAATAATATTGTAAACAATAACAAGATTGTAAACAATATCAAAATTGTAACAATATCAAAATTGTAAACAATAACAATTTGTTTAATTTATTTTGTTTACCTTTGAGACTGGAGTAAAAGGAGATCCAGAGCTTCCAAAAATAGGAAAATAACCTAAAAAACAAAAGTTGACATTTTTTGGTGAATTTTTAATATTAACAGAAATGTACATCCTAAAACTGAATGATTGGTGTCTCCGTTTTTAATATAATTGAAAATACCAATCAGGCTTTTGTAAATATCAACTCCTGTATCCATGAAAATGTGGCTTGAGATACTAAGCTTAGAAATAACAAAAGTATAACAAATACAAATTCAAACGTCTCAGAATTATAAAAATTAACAAAAATGACGTGCATTCCATTGTAAATGGTTACCACTGTATTTACCAGTTTGTGCAGAGTGTAGAGCAGATGAGTGTAAGAGCGAACTCTGCGGGGAAAGGAACGGTGAACTACGTAACTCTGCACTGCGTAGCTCTGCACTACGAAGTTCTGCACTACGCATGATGTGTGACTGTAGCTGCTGTAGCTGTTGAAGATGAGCAGACTGAAGGGTAGCTGCAAGGTGGGCAGGGCTGCCAGCACCTAAATAAAAAATTTTATTTAAAGGGACTGTAAGCTAAATTTTGAGGGACCCTACATGCAAAGATGGCAATGTCCGATTCACAACGGTAGCCTTGTATCTGATAAAAAATGTGGAAGATATTGTCGTTTTTAAAAGTGTTTAATTCTGAATATGGACCTATGTATTTTCCTGAAAAGAAATGCGCAAGTTAATGTTAAAGAGAACCCACATTTTAAAAACGTGAGTTTTCAAAATGAAAAACATAGATATCTAATTCATTCTTCATCAGCTTTAGGGTACTGTTGTAAACCGGGCATTGCTATCTTTAATATTGATATTATAACTCTTTATGAAACTTGAGTTTGTTTTCCTCGATTCAAAAACCATTCAATGACTCAAGTTTTTGGATGTTTTTAGGGTATTAGGACAAAAAAAGGTTTTTGTAACTCTCCAAAAAACATTAAACGCGATAGGGGTAGTTTAACATTAAAAAAATAATCATTTATAATGTTGATAGCATTTAAATCATGTTAAAAATGTTTCGGAAAAAAGTAAGCAGACCCAGTTTAGAAATTGTTTGAAAATTCCGGGTTTTTTTTCTTCTTTGATAGAGTAGTCGTATACTTAACAATGGAGATTCCAGCTTCCCACACCAGAGGGGTAAGGGAAGATAGAGATTATTATGCAAAGTCATTCAAATCTCTTCAATTATACGCTACAACCTAACTTGATTAAATAATAGATACGGAAAGAAAAATGAACCAAATAATTCTCGTAAAAATATAATAAAATCCAGAACACTCTTTATATGTCAAGTACTCAAATACCATCTAAATATAAAAATTTCAACTAGGTTCCATTTTATAAATAAACAAAAGAGAGATCATCCTTTAAAATTAGACAAATTTGAAGGCTTAACCAATTTTTCCTTTTTAAAGTTTTTTTTTGTCAGATTCGGGTCTGGATCCGGATCCAAGTCGCAAATTATCCACAAAACTTATTTTTGAAAAGAAAAATATGATAAACATTTATTACCTTGATCAGAATCCTTTAATGTTTAAAGTTTTTATTTAACCATATTAGAATTAGACATAATAGACATGTCTAAGTACGTATAAATCGATTAATCAGGAACCGACAACAGTATTTAAGATAATGGCCAGCTCACTAATTGCTCAATAATGACAATAGAGGGAGTTGGAGAGCGCATCAGCTCGGGGGGGGGGGGGTTGATTATATCACGGACCTTTAAGAGATTAAATCAAAGCCGACTTACAAGGATAAAATGACCTTGACTAAGTCTGAAAAAGTTTAAAGTAAAAGAATAAAAACTAAAATTAGTTAACGCATTGTGAAAGGTTGCCAAAAAAAATCATTAAAACGTTTTTTTAAATCGTTTAATAAGATCAAAAAAGATTAAACGTGGTTCAAAAAAGACCTACAAGAGAGAGGTTTAATTCAGTTTACAGCTGAATAGGTCTTTCTGGAGCTCCCAACGAAGATATCAGAATATATGGTGCTTAAAATGGACATTGCACACCGGGGTATTATATATAGTTTCAACCCGGGGGTATAAAACCAAACCTCAGGGCTTAACTAGGATTCAATCAATAAATTAAATATAGAAATAGTTTCAAGGGAATATTCGATTCACAACAGCACCCTTAAATGTGTTTTGGTCAAGTATGAATTAGATAATAATGTTTATAATTTTGAAAACTGATTATTTTCAATTGTGGTTTCTCTACCAAAGTGATTTGTTCATTTCTACTGCAGGGAAATATATTACAGGAATTATCTAAATTAAAGTACTTTTAAATCCCTGAAAAGCGGCGGCGATATTTCCCCCATTATTGATCAGATAAATGTTTCAATGGCACCCTTGTGAATCGGGCATTGCATTAGCATGAATGGTTTCTTAAAAATCACTCTTATATTCCCTGTAAGTCCATGCAGTTGCGATTTTAATTCTCTTTAGTGCATTCTTTGCAGTTTTTTGCCCTTTTTAGCATGAATTCAGATGAAATTCTGTAATGTCAGCCAAAATTTCATTAGTTTATAATATGTTCAAAATGAACACATTTTTAAAATCTTTTTTTGAGAAAAGTTAAGTAATGAAAGTTGAAAATTGATGCTTGAGGTTCATTTAAAATTTACCCGGTCTACATTTTCTTTGATCGAATTATGTCAAAAATATTTCCATTATTCCCAAAACTTCAAACAGGGCTCAAACCAATACTTCAAGAAGTCCCATGTAAAAAAAATCATATTCCAACATCTCAATATATCCCGATATTTTGAAAGGTTTCAATATTTTTATATGTCTCTATGTTTTAAAGTTATCAATATGTTTAAATTTTTAGCCAGTTTAAACTTTTAATTAAAACTTTAAATTTTCTAAAATCCCAAAATCCAGTCCCTATATAAAAAGTACCATTATAAGTCCCAATATAAAAATTCCCAACAAAAAATATTCCCAATAAAGAAAGTTCTAATGTAAAAAGTACCAATATAAAAATTAACAATATAAAAGTACCAACAATTTTTAAATTTTTATTTTATATTTATATATATATGTCCCAATATAAAAATATATATAATTCAACGTTCAATAATGGAATAAAGTCCCAGATTTCTTTTTAGATTTATTCTTTACAAAAATGTGCTAATACATTCTTGTTNAATAATAATAATAATAATAATAATAATAATAATAATAATAATAATAATAATAATAATAATAATAATAATAATAATAATAATAATAATAATAATAATAATAATAATAATAATAATAATAATAATAATAATAATAATAATAATAATAATAATAATAATAATAATAATAATAATAATAATAATAATAATAATAATAATAATAATAATAATAATAATAATAATAATAATAATAATAATAATAATAATAATAATAATAATAATAATAATAATAATAATAATAATAATAATAATAATAATAATAATAATAATAATAATAATAATAATAATAATAATAATAATAATAATAATAATAATAATAATAATAATAATAATAATAATAATAATAATAATAATAATAATAATAATAATAATAATAATAATAATAATAATAATAATAATAATAATAATAATAATAATAATAATAATAATAATAATAATAATAATAATAATAATAATAATAATAATAATAATAATAATAATAATAATAATAATAATAATAATAATAATAATACAAACCTTATCATAGCATTTATATCTATATCTGAATATGGAGACGCGCTCAATGCACGTTTCCTGTTCCTAAAGCTGTTCCTTAGACTCGGTGAACCGAGCCGGGCAGCTTCGAACTCACTGCTCGCGAGCGCACTCGCTTGAAGCGCACTTGCCGCGGTTAGATAATCTGCGTGGGATGGAAGACGAAGGGAAGAAGGAGGACTAAACAAAATAATGTTTTTTTTATTTTTAAACATTTTCAAATCCCATTTCTTTAAGACAGTTACATACCCGGTTTACATTGCCAACATTTAATCATTTAATAAGTCAACCGTGGGGAAGATATTGCCGCAATTTGAACTTAAAATTTTTAGATTTTAAAATGGAATAACAGAAATATACAATCATTTTTGCTTTTGTACAGGACAATTAGCTTGTATTCCATCATTTTTGCTTTTGTACAGGACTTTTAGCTTGTATTCCATCGACGCTTCATGAAATAAATTATGAAAAGAAAATTTAAATTTTAGTAAAATGTTTGATTATTATATACCTGAGATGTAGGTATGTAGGTGAGAGTGGGTGTGTGGGGGGTGGGGCAGTATGTAAACCTAATAGTGCTGCTGTACTGTTATATTGCTGGGCGGCACTATGGGACGAGGTTGGAATCCTAAAATAGAAAAAATAATTATTGTCATTTTTTTAAATTACATTTTATGAGCGTCTTAAATTAATGAAGTTATTAATCTGTCTTGAACAATAAATTAGTCAACTCTAATTTTCTAATCTTCGTAACCTCATCAAGAGATCAAATAGCCAAAGCTTGAAATATCAAATATTTACACCATCAAGTTGCAAAAATTGGGCTTGGGTGCAAATTATAAATTTCTATTTCTATTATCTTTTATTTCCCCTGAATTTATCCCCTTACAGTTTTTAAATTCCCTTCTTAATTCCCCCATCACAGCCCGTCAAAAATTCCCCCCCCCCTCAACCCCCCATATCACATCTCTTCATTCTTTTCAAGTTTTTGTGTCCGGACATTTCGCGGAAATTGAATAAATACAAAAGAAGAGGTTTATGAGCCTGTCACCGTGTATTTACAAATACGACATAGT